TGTGTGTGTGTGTGTGTGTGTGTGTGTGTGTGTGTGTGTGTGTGTGTATGTGCTTTGAAAACTTGATCTCTGCCATACTATTTTTGGGAGTAAACCTTCTGGATCTTTTATTTAGGTGACATCCTCCCCTATTCTCTTATGGGAAATCCGCTTGTGTCTTAATGGTTTAATATATATCTCATTGGGCTTCCCTGGTGGCGCAGTGGTTGAGGGTCCGCCTGCCGATGCAGGGGATGCGGGTTCGTGCCTCGGTCTGGGAAGATCCCACATGCCGCGGAGCGGCTGGGCCCGTGAGCCATGGCCGCTGGGCCTGCGCGTCCAATATATATATATCATTAAAAGCCAAATAATGGCTCCTTTAAATTGGAGAAACTTCTAAATAGTAAATTTTTAGAGAACTCTCATTATAAACAGCTGTTTTATTGGTACCTATATTAAAAAATAAAAGGCAGAAAAAAGAAATATATATAATGGTTAACCTAACAACTTCTTTTCTTTAAAACAAGTAAGAAAAACCGGTTTGGGAAGATTTATTTGTGGTCTTTGCTTCCCCTCAATGGGTTTTACAGATGCTAATAAAAACATTAGAATAATGTTAACAGGAAAAAAAACCTGTAAGGAATGTCTAGATACTTGTTGGAACAAGGTAGAAATTTTAAAAAGGAGTTATCTCAAATGAATAAAGAAATCTTCAGATGGATATTTAAAATGGGATAAATAAAATGGACACGTATGCGATTAAAACACAAGGTTTTGATATTACACTACCTAAGATTAAATGGGCCGAAAAGGACCCCCTACTAGTCTCCATCATTAAAGCCAAACAAGTCCGCTGTTTACACCAGTTTTAAAAAGATATATTTAAGGGGCTGGAAAAAAATTTTTTACACTGAGATAGCTGACGAGCAATTACTTGGGGCAACAGGCTACGGGTCTGAGTTCCTTGGCTCAAGCTCCCTCTGGGGCTCCCAGAGCATTTTATAGAAAAATAGATAAAATGGACAGGGAATAAAAGAAAGAAAAACTTCTAGAACTCCTCCTGTAAGATCAGAACTTGTTGATTGGATCCTAATGAAAGCTAAAGGTATAAAAGTTGATAGGATTGAGATAAAGTATATAAAGATATATATATATATATATATATATATATATATATATATATATATATATATAAGATGGCTATCTCTCTTTTGTTTAATTATGTTGTGGGATAGACACATTTCACTGTGGAATGCTTCCCCTGCATGGTATTATGACAAGGCACATAGATCTGCCCCTCAGAAAGTATTAACTAAACATACTAAAGGAAACCAGTAGGGTTACCTGAGCCACACGAATAAGTAAAAACTGGGAACTAACATTCAGTGGTTAATAAAAATAAAATTAGTGATTTTGCTTGTAAACTCAGAAAGAAGTTCTTTGCTGAATGTCCTATACAAGATTTTGAAGGCGTGATAAATTAAACTCTAAAGTTCTAGAACATAGAACTTGTAAATTTCAGTTTAGTTAGAAATCTTCTCACTGATATATAGTTGGGCAAATCAATCTTTTAACATCATCTAGGTGACAGACCTTTGGGGAACTTAAAGCAACTGTCTTTCTCTTGCAAATCTCTACAAACCAGAAATGTAAATACAGGCCACAGGGACCTGAGGCTGAACCTAATTAGCTTAATCAGGAAGAACCTGAAACCAAGGGAAAAGAAAACGACAAAGTGGCAGTTTTAAAATTCAAACTGCTGAGAATGCTCCCTCAGCCAAGCTTTACAAACAGTAAACACTTAGTCTTCAGAGCAAGCAACTTTAATGTATTCCAACTGATTTTTGTAAAAAAGTAAGTTTATATTGTAATACCTGATTCATAACTAAGTTTTTTTTCTGAAGGGAAACCATGAGATCTCTAGTTTTGCCTGTTTATATGTCTGTGTACACATTATACATATGAAATATCTCTACCTCTGGAAAGTATTACCAAAATTGAATTTATAAAGAGCTCAATTTAATTTGAAAGTAAGTGGTTACAAATTAAATATAAAAGAAACCAGCCAAAATGACTTTCAGGTTCATGTGAATAGGAAATATTCAATATTATGTTGATACCTGGTATTAAAGTTTTGTTGATCTAATTAATATATACATGTTTTTAGAGTCATCAACATTAAGTATAATACTTTATTGTATCTAGGTTTAATAGAAGTCAAATAAGACCTTATTATATCTGTTGCAAAGAAAATAACTTGATATGCTGAAACTTTAAGGTAAATGTAAATGAGATAAGAGCTTTTGGGTAAACTCTTTAAGAATAATTATATTTTAGAAATGTTTACTTAAAATGATCTCTCCAGATATTTGGTAACAAAGTTCTAGAGTTGTGCTAATTTAAGTGATGGAAACTTATTGAATATCTCGGTCACTCCCAAATAAAATAAGATACTGAGACAGCAATTACTGAACAGAGAAACTAAAGTATTTAGGACTATTAATAAATGTTTGGTGTCACCCTGAGATGTTTTTAGAAATTGTCACTAGTAATTTATGTTCACTAATCTTCAGAATGCTAATGTAAAAGACAGTTCATAATTGCTTATTTCTTAGTTTTCACTAGAAATTAAGGTTATTAAGAGTTGAGGATTCTAATTTAAACATGTAATTAAAGCTAACAGAAATAATAATGAAGCATTTCAGTATACAGTAGGAAATTTAGAATGTGTGTTTTCAGTAAAGAAGGTATAGGGAATGGAATTAAATTTTATTGAGGGAAAAGAAAAAAATGTCTTAGAGCTGGTTGTTTCCAATGGAAAAATAAGGGACAAACTGATACGGATATAGAAAGTGATGAAAAGTTGTGGAAAGGAACTCTGAGGAAAAGAAGTTTCATGCATGGTCAGGATTAACTAAATTTAGATTGAAGTTAATTAAGTGAATGGATTTTGTTGTTAAGTAATCTAGTACAAGACTGGAATTTGATTTCTCTCTCTGTTAGGAGAATGATGTTTCTTAGAGTGCTCCTTTTTGATAACAGATTGTGTGAGTTTCTTTGCCCTTAAGTGATCTATATTTGTTTTTCTGAAATCTTTTCGTGACTTTGGTTAAATGAATAAGTATTCTTTCACAGTGACCTATAATCCTGTTGTGTTTTAAAACTTTTTTGATAGTTTTGAGCCCTCATGAAGGGCTGGCAGGCAAAGGCCCCAGGAAAAGGTAGACTAATTTCCTTATAAATCATGTGGTTATGAGGGTGGGCGTTTCACATGTGGCTTTTTTGCAAAATCAGCTTAGCAGTTAGTTAGTACATTAGAGGGCTCATAAACGCTCCAGCTGCACTGACTCACAACATGAGACATCTGTGAGGTGAGCTAGAAGGGTGGAGCTCTGAGGAGGAACTTGCCTGGTGGCCTATGTGGCGTCAGGTGGGAATGAACTTTGGGGCCTAATTGTCACAAAAACCTGGACTTTAGAATCAGTCTGAGTTGAAATCTTGGTCCCAACACTTGCCAGCTGTGTAACCTTAGACAAGTAAGTAATCCTCCCTGAGCCTTTGTTTCCAGGTGAGGGCAACGGTGGTTGTTTCAAGGTGGAGGATTGGCCTGGAGAAATGCAGCTGGTTGCTCTGACAGATCCTTGAGGAGGGAAGTACCTGGGTGTGGCCACCAGTTTCTGGACTCTAATCTTCAAATTTTCTCAGAAATTTAGAGATTGGCATTTTGGCAAACTGTTGGGCAGTATCTACTAAATTCACGTTATTAGTTTCCTAGGACTGCCATAACAAAGTACCACAAATTAGGGGACTTTAACAGAAATTTATTCTCTCATAGTTCTGGAAGCTACAAGTCCAAAATCAAGGTGCCAACAGGGCCACACTCTCTCCAAGGCTCTAGGGTGAGTCCTCCTGTGGGGGTCACCATTGCCCCCTTGCCTAAGTTGTGAACTTTTCTGTGGAGGCCGAGGGCAGGGCACAATAATTCATTCGTCAGTCCTGATAACATATGGAAGGGTTGGGAGCCCTCATCGCAGGAAGAAAGGAGAGAGCATTATGGAGCCTAAGCTAATTGGGGAGGATATTTGGGGATCCTCACATCTCCTCTTGTCCCCTTGAGATGGCCCTGGGGCCTCAGACTCCTGGTGAGATCACCACGTGTGGGGGGAAGCAGTGAACTCTGGCAAGTGCTGCCTCTTCTTGATCTGCCTCTCCCTGTTCCAGGGACTCACCCCTCCACCCATGTCCCTCTCACATTAGGCTAGAGGTATGGGGTATGGAGAAGCTGGAGGCAGGACTGGTGGGGACTGGTAGGAAAGACCTGAGGAGCAAGGTATCTGCCTGAAGGGGCTGCTTGGGGAGCTGACTCAGTGGATGCCAGGCAGGCTGGGAGTGCAGGGTTCTGTCTTGACTCCAAAAAATTCAGCCTCAGAATATGTGGGAATTTGGAGTGTCTGAGCTTCCTACAAGCGTGGTTGGGTGGTACATAGGGTCATGCCCTTGGAACAATGTCATTGAGCTCTGGGCTGCCCATCTCCTGCTCTCCTTTCCATCTGCATTTGTCCGGTTTCTAGAAAGAGACAATATGATCTATATCTATATCCATATATATTTATATATTTATAGCTATATCTAGTTAGCCCTCCATATCCACAGGTTTTGCATCCAAGGATTCAACCAATTGATACTGGGTTGGTTGAATCTGCAGATATGCAACCTACAGATATGGAGGGCTGACTGTATTCATTGTATTATACAATTTTATATAAGGGACTTAAGCATCCATGGGTTTTTGTATTCATGGGGGATCCTGGAACCGATCCCCTGTGGATACTGAAGGACGACTCTCTCTCTCTCTCTCTTGTGTGTGTATGTGTGTGTGTGTATATCTTAATATATAAAATACAAGTATAAATATATATGTATATTATATATATTGGCTCCCATGGTTATGGAGGCTGGTAAGTCCAAAATCTGCAGAATGGGCCACCAGGCTGGAGACCCAAAGAAGAGTTGATGTTGCAGTTCAGGTCCAAAGGCCATGTGCTGGCATAATTTCCTCTTGTTCAGGGAAGGTAAGGTTTCTTCTCTATTCAACTAATTGAATGAGGCCCATTCACATTATGGAAGGCAATCCACTTTACTCAAATCCACTGCTTCACTCAGAGCTCACTGATTTGAATGTTAATCTCATCCAAAAGTACCCTCACAGAAATGTTCAGAATAATGCTGGTCCAAATATCTGGGCACCCCACAGGCCAGCCAAACTGACACATAAAATTAACCTCCTTACTAAAATGACTTCACCAAGCAATAGGAATTGTAGCTCCCTGACACTGAGGACTTATTTTGTGTTGGCAACCTTGTGCTTACTTCCTTACTCACCCATGTGATAAGTGTTATGCTTGTTTCACAGAGGAGTCAACTGAATCTTACTCAGTGTGATAGCCAATGTTGGAACCCCAGTTGGATCTCTTTTCCCATCCAGTGACCCCTCCCCCACCTGTTGCCAGTACAGTGGCTAAAAGCTTGCATCTGAGACCTTCTCTGGGTGATTGCCTGTGGCTGATGTCCTTGTCCAGAACCTCCTGAGAACTTTTGTCCCCCTCTCCCATCCCCACCCGCTATCCTCCAGGGGTGGACAATGACTGATTGACACAGGAGTATAAGAGACGGTCCTGCTTACCTACCTCAAGGGGGGATAGCTCTGGCCCATTCACCATGCCCCCCAGAGCTCCACATGGGATCAGGCAGAGGTTAGACTCCAGCTGAGACCCCATCCTTTGCTGAGCATTTTCCCCTGTCCTGTCCTACTTCCCTTCCTCCCTTTCTCTTGAGATCATTTCCTAAGTTAAAACATGTGCTCAGGAATCTCTATCTCAGCCTCTGATTGTAGGGAATGGGGTTTAAATTCCTGTTAGTGAGGAATTCAAAGCCAAGTCTAGCTAGCTTCAGCATTGGCCCACTGAACCCCTGCATTGTCCATAGCTGGGGATGGTAAGCTGGCAGGCATGTATGCATCCTTGTGGGGCTGGGGTATTAGCTGAGAAGAGAAGAGACCTAGCTTTTAGGAAGGTCTTGGTGGCTTTGTCACTCCCTCCCTTGCTCGCGCGCCCCTAGCTGGTGTCTCATTTCCATAAGACACAGCACCAGCAACAAGTTGCGCAGTTATGTACCTTCACAGGGGCAAGTTGAAGGTTACACTTGACAGAGACTGTGGGTCTGGAGTCCTATCCTCAAATCTTCTAAGAGCTGAGTCTCAGCTTTCAGGCAGCAAAAGCAATGGACTCAAAATCCTGAGCTGCTCCTTGGGAGAGAGTATGAGCCAACCCAGGCAGGCCGGCCTCCTGGTCAGCAGGCTGCAGGCCTAGGCTGTGGTCTGAGGCCTCCATTTAGCCCCCCTGCCTGTGGGAATGCTGAGTCACCACCCTGGGAAGGCCTCTGCCATCAGTTTTTCCATAACTTGGAGGTTTGGAGCTGTTCCAGTCACCACTGCTCCAGTTAGAAGTTTGCTTCTGGCTTTACCAGGTGGCCTCCAGACTCTCCAAGAGACAGCTGCTTAAGGATAACAAATAGGTGAGATGAGAGAGTCTGGACCTGAGAGGGTGGAGCCAAAGCCTGGCAGAGGAATTGCTGGGGATGGCTGTGCAGTGGAGGATGGGCTCCATGCTGGCCCCCAAAGAGCCTTCTACTCCATCTGGCTGGAGAAGACAAGAAAGGATGGGGCACCTGTTGGCAGAAGACTTCTCTTAACAAAAAGAGGAGTGTTAGGCTGTTCTCTTTGGTTAAAGACCTTTACTACTGCCTTCTATGTGAAAGGATATAGTGTGGAAATTATGGTGTCGGGTAGACCTGATTAAAAACCTCTGTTCTATCATTATAGATTTTGTGATGCTGGGAAAGTCACTCAATATTTCAGAGCCTCAGTTTTCTCATCCAGAAAATGGGTGGCCATGCTTAGTGCACAGGGTTATTGTCTGGCATGGGGCAAGTCAGATGAAGGGAATAGCTCAGTAAGAGACAGAGATAGAATTGGTGGACTAGGAATGCTAAAGAAAAATTCAGCCAGCTTCACCAATTTGCTTCTAGAGCCAGGGAAGTGGGCATAAGGCCACTGCTTACCCATTCAAATGCTCGAGGCAGACATCATTAATTATAGCTGCACACCTTAATCCTCGATAGAGCCTCCAGGTAGCTTCTGTTAATTGATTGGAGGTGGCACTTGAGATGGAACCTATGTGTCATCCCTGGTTTCAGGACAAGATGGCCTTGACAGCCTTCGTGGAGGAGTCCTTGAATATATGAAGAGGAATTTAAAGGAAAGAAAAATTGCCTTCTTCTAACTTGAATGCCTGGGGGTGGAGTTGGTTTGTAATTGAGCAGCCTACAGGTTCTACCATTTTCAAGCAGCTTGAGCTACTGAGCAGAGGTCAGGCTTGGTGTAGACCTTCCAGATAACCATTAGCTTGGCAAGGCTGGCCTCACCAAAGAGGTACTCTTAGACTGCCTCCCCACAGGAGCAGACCCTGAAACAAGGATTCAAGTTCAAGTAGCTTAACTGAGAAGTGATTCCAAGGCCTCTGGTAGGAGATTCAGGAAATGAGACAGGGATGAGAAGGAAGCCAATGCAAGGTGCATTTTAAAGTAGGTTATTACTGTGGGTGACTGGAGCTTAATCCTACTGAGGAAGCCTGGGAGATAGTGCAGAGCACAAATCTGAGTTATGGCACCTGAGGAGCGAGGGAGCAGGGGTATATATACAGCAACTGCCATCAGTCATTAGTTGAGGGCTACTGGGGTAGGATGTTAACTCCCTGGTTACAGGTGGACAAGATGGCATCAAGTGGCCAGAGAAAACTCTCAGGCAAAAAAATTACAGGTACTGGCAGCTGGAAGTGGTAAATGCCAAAAGCAGTATCTACTATTCATGTGGACTGAAAATCCCAAGGAGCTCAAGTGAGTCTATTCATTGAAAATCAGGGCTGCCTAATCTTTCTTAGTACGGTGTTCTCTTGAAAATTCCAGCTGCCTCACCCTGCCCCAACCTGCCCCACCCCTAGGTGCATAGGATACGTAGTCCCTGTTCTGGACTGAATGACCAGAACCCTGATGATTAAAATAGTAAACATTTATTTCATACTTACTATAGACTAGGTGCTCTGGTAATTGTTTTATAATCATGATCTAATTTAATTGTCATAATAACCCTGTGAAACAAGTACTATTATTATCTCTGAAGTTCAGAGAGGTTAAGTAGCTTGCCCAAATTCACACAGTGTTATGGACTGAATGCTTCTGTCCCTCCAAAATTTATACATTGAAATCCTAATCCCCTATGCAAAGGTATTAGAAGGTAGGGTCTTTGGAAGGTAATTAGGTCATGATGGTGAAGCCCACATGAATAGGATTGGTTCCCTTATAAGAAGAGACACAAGAGAAATTTCTTCCTCTGTCTGTTCTCCATTATGTGATAATACAAAAAGAAGATGGCCTTCTGCATACCAGCAAGTGGGCCCTTATAAGACACCAAATCTGCCAGCATCTTGATCTTGGACTTCCTAGCTTCCAGAACTGTGAGTAATAAGTAATTGTTGTTTAAGCCATTCTGTCTATGGAGGGTTGGTGGGAGATTGGTGCTCAGGAGAATCTGGCAAGGGAGGAAAGGAGGTAAGAGGTGCTAAAATTGTCCCCTGTTCCTTATCCTCTGCTGGAGGGTCCCTGTCACCAGAAAGGGCATGTCTAGCCTTGCACTCTTTTCCCCCATTTGGCCTTCCTGCCCCACCTTCCCTTCTGGTCCTCACTCAGAATCAGAGGTGAGGACAGACCTCCAGGGCTCCCAGCAAATTGTCTTCATGTTTCTTTCTGGTCTAGATCAAGTGAAGGAGGAGCTTTTATGGAGAAAAGGGCTAGAGGCTAAGGAGCCCGTGAATGCTTGAGGGATTTTCTTGAAGACCTGGGGTTTAGCAGATTCTGTGCTAGGATCACCATTGCCCTATGTAGCAGTGTGATTGTAAAAATGGCCCCAATTCTCCACCGCTCCCTAAATCGACACACTTTATGATGTGATCTCATAGCCTCCTCCTACTGAGAGGTGGAGACTGTTCCCACACCCCTTGATTCTGGTCTGGACTTGTGACTTGCTCTGGCCAGAAAAAGGTGGTGGAAGTGATGTTGAGCCCTTTCTGAGCCTAGGTCTGAAAGGGCATTGTCTGTTTTTGTTTGCTGTCTTGAATACACCATGACCACGATGACCATGTGAACAAGCTCAGACTAGTCTACTGGAGGACAAGAGACCACATGGAGCAGAGACAAGCTTCCTAGCTGAGGCCATCTTACACTAGCCACTAGCTTCACCCAAACATGTCTCAGAGTCCAGCCAAGATCAGCAAAGGCACCTATTCAACCCATAGCTGACTGTAGACCCAACAGTGATCCCAGACAATGCAAGAGCTGCCCAGCTGACCCAGGACTCATGAACAATAATAAATACTTATTATTGTAAACCACTGAGTTTTGGAGGGATTTGTTACACTGCAGTAGCTAACTGATACACCCAAATCTCAGGGGTCAATCCTCCTTCCTTTGCCCCAAATTAACACTCAGTCTGACCTAACACACAATAGCAGCCTCTAGCCTCACCAAGGCTTCCACAGAGGTTCCCTTATGGCCAGCTCTTGATTTGGCTGCGTCCATATCAGTGGGACTGCCTTGGCACTCTCCCATCTTTTTACTGTATTCTTCTTTGACGCTAATCTGTGTGTGTGCACTTGTGCACGTGTATGGTGTGTGTGTGTGCGCCTGTGAGCTCTAAGGTACATTTCACATCTTAGGTTCAGTCTCCTCCTTTTGCTGAGGACTCCCTGAGGCTCAGGCTGTGCTTTGTCCCCAAGAGACATTCCTTAGACAGGGACCTGGCCCCTCATTCCTGGAAAGTTGCTCCTGCCTAATGCTCAGCCTAGGTTGTGAGGATGCAGCTCTGTGGGTTCAGATCAACCTCATAAACTTCTCTGCCCTACCCCCCAGGGCAGCAAGTCCAGCAAGTCTGGTGCACTGCAGCCTCCCACCTACAGAGCTAAAACTAGAATTCCTGGCTGGGCTGGCTTGCTTGGCAGCTGCCCTCAGCAGCTTTCCCTGCCCTTCCAGGGGCTTTCTCTGTCCTACAGCTTTCCCTTGTGAACTGGGCTGGTCCTGGGACAAGCTCCCTCTGGCTAGCTGATCACCCTCTGGTGGGACTTGATGAACCAGCGTGACTTAGGACACCACCAGATCTAACACTCAGTCGTGGGCTCTTTCCACACAGCATTTACCTGTCAGGGGGCATCTGGTCTCAGACCACAGATATAGCTTTTAATGGCCTAAGCAGAAGAAGAATTTATTAGAAGATTACAGGTAACTTATGGGATTGATCAGAAGGACTGACCATGGGAGGAATGTGGCTGGGCGTTTCTGCTGCTGGCACCACTGTCTCTGACTATGGCTGTGTTCTCAACTGTCTCAGCTTTCTGTGGCCTTATCCCAGACTCAGAGTTCTGGGAAATATTACTGAGAGGCTGGGACTGGATCTGGGCTGCTCCCTCGTCACCAGAAAAGGCAAGTCCACAATATTGAGTTTCTCCAAATGTAAGGAGGGGGGTTCAGATGTTGGGCAGCCAAAAGAAGGGTGATAAGCACCCATACCACTCCATCCTCTTAGGGTCTGTTATAAGGAACTTGGTGCTCCAAATAGAGCCCAACTCCAACACTTTCATTTCATTGTGCCATTAAAAAAAATGAAGTTTAATTTATACATAGGAAAATGCATATATCTTAAGGATTCAGCTCAATGAATTTAAAAAACCTGTTTATATACTTGTGTAACCACCACTCAGATCAAAACAGAGAACATTTCCATCACTCCAGAAGGGTCCTTTGTGCCTCCCTGGTCAATCTTATCTTCCCCTACGAGGAAGTAACCATTCTGATTTTAGTTTATTTTGCCTATTCTTGAACTTCATATAAAAAGAACCATACAGTTTGTACTCTTTGTTTTGTTTTTGTTTTAGGCCTTGCCCTGCGGCACGTGGGGTCTTAGTTCCCCTACCAAGGATCAAACCTGCGCCCCCTGAATTGGGAGTGTGGAGTCTTAACTACTGGACCGCCAGGGAAGTCCAAGTTTGTACTCTTTTGTGTAAGGTTTCTTTTGCTCAGCATAATACACTATAGATTTATCCAGGTTGCTGCATGTATTAGTAGTTGGTTCCTTTTTCTTGCTGAGTAGTATTCCATTGTATGAGTGGGCCATAATTTGCTTACCCATTCTGTTGTTGATAGACATTTGGATTGTCTCTAGTTTTTGGTTCTTATGAATTAAACTGTGCACATTCATGTACAAGTCTTTCTGTGGTCAAACATTATTTCCCTCCAGAGTTTTGATTTACTGTCCTGCTTCACTGAGAAACTTCCCCACCAAATTAGTAGGGAAGTTTCCCTCAGCTAGAAAGACAGATGAGTTTTTTCTCCCATGCAGTCACTATTCATACCCAAGATAGAACTTTTCATCTATGCCCCTAAATCTGCTCCTTCTGGAATCTTCGCCACCTCATTGTGTTGCTCCAGCCAGAAACCTGACTGCTCTCTTTGCTCACATCGTTCAACCCAGCCATCAGTAACCCCATCATGTGTGCCATCAAAACACCTGACCACTTATTTCCTCCATGGCCACCAGCTGTTCTGGACCACCATCACCTGTTACCTGGAACACTGCAGTATCCTCTCCTCTGCCTTCACTCTAGTTTCTCTCTCCCACCCTCACCTCCCACCCCTGGGTGATTCTTACCACAGAAGCCAGAGCAAGCCTTCAGAGGCTAAGTGAGAACATGTTCTGCCTTCACCCGAAACCTTCCCATGGCTCTCACCCCACTCTAAGCAAAAGCCACAGTTATTACTATGTAGACATTGCAATAACAAAGCCCTCATGATCTCCCCATGCTACTTCTTTCCCATCATCCCCTTCCTTTTCTCCTTTACAGTCACACTGTGCTTATTCCTTTAATATGTCAAGGATGTTCCTGCCTGTGGACTTTTCATTGACTGTTCTCCCTGAACAGAGAGCTCTTCCCCTAGATTTCCACATGGTTCCCTCCTTTACTTTCCTTCAGACCTATTAACTTTACCAGCTCTATTTTTCTCTACAGCTCTTACCACATCTGTTACAGTCTATTTACTGGTTTACGTGTTTGTTGTTTGTCTTCCCCATCAGCATGTCAGTTCCATAAGGGCAGGGACTTTGTCAGTTTGTACTTGTGTCCCTGGTGCATGAGCATCATCAGCCATGTCCTAGGCAACAGTTAAGAGACACAGAGTGGCCTAGAGCACACATGAAAAGAGAGAATCAAGTTAGGTGTCTTCCACCTTGAGCTCACAATTTGGGTGTTGGATACTTTAAGAAAGTGATAAGAACATCCTTTGGGCTTTCTCTGCCCCCTCAGAGATTTAGCTCACTTTGGTACAAGCCCCCACAGTCTCACAGCCTATGTGATGAGTCCAGTGCAGGCTCAGAGATTGGAAGAGGCTTTTGGAAATAGTGAGATGGAACCAGGCCTGTGAGGGTAGGTGGAGTTGGGTAGGCAAAGGACAGCAAGACATCATGGGCTGGTGTGGGGTAGTGCTGCTTAGGTGAGATATGAGGGGTTAGCACCTTGGACAGAGTCTCTGAAAGTCTGCCGCCCAGGAAGGCCATCGCCATCGCCACTCCTTGTGCTGACCCAGCAGGGTTTGGGGGGAGAGGTCCGAACACTTTCCACCCATGGTAGTTATACCAATATCCATCATCAATCCCAGACTAGACTTTGGTTATTTTTAGGTTGTTTTTTCTTTAACGTTGAAGTATATCCATGGAAGGGAACTTATTCTTCAATAAAGCAAACCTACAATATCTCTGGACAGACAAGAATGAAGCATCCCTACCTAAGCCAATCTCTGGGGAGACAAGAGTGAAGCTGACTTGCCTAAGCAAAGCAAGGTCTGATCTCTGCCAGGATGTTCCGGGAGTCAACGGAACCCCTGCATTGGAAAAGCAGAGTCAACCACTGGACTGACAGGGAAGTCCCCACCTCCAAAATCAGATTTTTAAAGGCTTTTACATACAGGACATATGGAAACAGTTTTGTGTGCTGTCCTTTATTAAATGGAAGTATGGTCATGCTGTACACACTCTGTTGAAACTTGATTTTTTCTCCTTAATGATGTGTTTTGGATGTTCTTCCATGTCACCCCTTTTCTCTTGTCTTCTTTTCTCCACCTTATTCTTTTCACTGATGCTTAGTATTTAATACTACACATATTCATGTTTTGATTTATTTAGTCATTGTCCTCTCAATGGGATTTCAGGGGTTTTTTTCAATTTTTTAGTGTTTTAGCCAATCTTGCTGTGAATACCCTTGTTTATGGTTCCTGGGTACATAGCTAGATGCATAAGTGCTGGGTCAGAGGGGATGCACATTTTGAATTTTAATAGATGTAATTTAGTCCCCTAACCCCCCATGTCTGGGGTATGGGTGGGGCACCCAGGCCAGAACTTAGGCTTTAACTTCCCTATCCCTCACTTCAGTCACCCAATCCATCATCAAGCCATGTTAATTTTACCTCCTGAGTATTGCTAGCATTGTCTCTTTCCTCCAACCTTGTTGCCACTGCCTTTGTTCCGATATTCATTATCTCTTGCTCTTGCCTGAATTAATGCAATAGCTTCCCACTCCTACTCCCCATCCCTAGTCTTGGTCATTCTATCTCCGACATAACCCACGTTATTCTGTAGTCAGAACTATCTTTCTTGATCCCCAATCCAATCATGCCCTCCTCTGACTTAACTCTTCAATGGCTTCCCGTTACTCTTAGGATAATCTCTAAGCCCTGTGTTTTGGTCTACTTTCATCATGCCAGCTATGCCAACCTCTCCAGCATCGTTGAAACCACACTCCTTCTCAGATGGGAGTCAAACCCAGCCAAAACTCAGATTGGGACTTGAACCCACAGGCTGGGACTTGAACCCAGCCAGAGTTCAGATTAGGACTTGAACCCATGATCCCTGATTTAGGAGAGGACTTAAACCCATTATCTTTTAATTGAAACCACTCACCTGGTGTCAGGACTTACTGAAGCTCATGTTCTTTTGTCTCACTGCAGAAAGAATTCAACGTGAGGCAAAGTGACAGGCAAAGAGTGAATTTATTAGCTTAGGATGCTAGTGAGAGATACAAGTGGGCTAGCAGGGGAGTGCATCCCTGAGAACAAAGAGGGTTACATTTTTGTAATCAAAGAAAAAGTGGGGAGAGGAGGAGACCACATTCTTCCTCATTCTTGGGTGGACATTAAAGTTTACATCATTAGTTCCTCCTTTGACCCTATATGGTCTAACCAGGACTGTCATGGCACTATTTAAATCATATGTATATTAGCAGAAGTGTGGTGACATAGACTAAAATATGGTAATTCATTTCAAGTTTCCATATAATGTCCCCTTTCACCTAGTTTCTTTCCTCTTTCTCCTATGTTTCTCTCTTGGCTACATGCGGAAATGCTACTCTTCAGGACTATTAACTCCCTGACTTCATGCAACAAGATTCAGACCCCATATTTATTGTCTTGTGTTTTAACTATCAAGACTTGTGGCTTGAGTGTGCCTGGTGCTTGAATGTACCTGGTCTTCCTTCAAGGTACTGTAGGTTGTTGCTAGGTTACTGGATTCTTTTCTTGAGTGGTCATTAGGTTACAACAGTCTTCCAAACTCCCTTAAAATTCCCTTTCTGTCTTTATTCCCCCTAGTTGGATTCCTCAACTAACTATTTAAGTATCTTATTCTATCCCTACCATCATTCCTTCCTGCCATCTCACCTCACACCCAGGATTCCAGTGATGTTGATAGTTAAGACCCCTAATATGTCAGACTGTTTTACACCCCATGCCTTACTCAGTTTTCTCTGACTGCACTGCCTGTTCCACTTCCCTGTTCTCTTTTCTCCTCCTGTTCACCCGGTGAACACCCAGCTATCTTTTGGGGCTCATCTACCAGTCACCCATTCTGGGAAGCCTTTTCTTTCCCCTAAAGGAGGACAGACCACTTTCCTTTTAGTTCCTACTGATGTTGTTCAGGCTTTTGGTTTAGTCTTGTCACCATTTAGTATCCAATTTATTTACCTCCCCATCTCCCCTCTAGACTCGGAGCTTCTTAAAGAGACTGAATAAACAATGATGACAGGCTGTCTACCTAGGGTAACATACATGCAAAAAGTGCACATATCATAAGTGTGCAGCTTCCTGAAATTTTACAAATGGAAACCACTCATGTTACTAGCAGCCAGTACTGGAATTAGGAATTAGAGTGGGAGACAGCCAAAGGGACTTATCTGTAATGTTTTCAATTCTTCACATGGAGAATGTGTTCTAGTATAACCTGGATAATTAAAAATTAAATACAATTTTTTTACACATCCTCACACCCTTCCTGTTGGGATCTTCAGAGCTGTGTTAAG